ACTTAGTTATGACTTTGTTTGTTCTGCTTGACTAATTTTTAAGTAAATTGTAACCTACAGATATGAAACACAATATAGCGTAAATCACTTTTATGTTTTTGACCACACTGCAACTTCTTTAGATGAAAGGAAAGAACATTTTATTCTTAAAAGAACTAAAAACCAAATTTAGAAACGTTTATACAAATGAGGTGATATTAAAAAGAGTAGGACAACGGAAGTCAATAAGAAATAGGTGAGGACTAGTTAGGGACTATTAGAAGCAGAAAGGGCCGAGGTGGACCTACATAGAACTGCCAAAATTGGAAAAAGTGGAGACACATATACATGTCCAATCAATGTCTCCGAGCTATTAACTTCATGATAATGATAATGGACTGTTTGAACTTCATTCAAATTCAGTAGACTATCTAGGTACATATTCACTTCGAAACAAAAAGATAAAATTGAATAATAGTTACGAATATTTACACAAACAGAAATTTGTAAAAACGTATAAATTAGATTATACTTTTGATATTATATTTCTGATTTTAATACCCTTGCGTGTACCATTGTAATGGATTTTGATGGCTCGTACAGATACAGTGTACGTTTGAGTATAATTGTCCATAATTTAAATAAATCGCAAATGAAGAATACATTAAATGATGTCGATCCATCAATTTTGCAAAATTTTGTTAATTCATTACGTATTTTGAATAACTAATACATTTCATCAAATTCAACATAATGTAACACTGTCAAACGCCTTATTTCACCGTAAAATGAAGATCGCACTTTTATTAGTTCATTAAATGATTAGGCTACCTTTTTTTTTAATTGTTTATTTTTACTATAAATAATTAGAACGTTGTTAGAAAAGTTTCATTTGTATTTGTAATTATTTTGGTGGAGGCGGCGGACAGTTTTAATTTATGTTTAATTCTGTTGTTGTTAGTTCTATAATAAATTAATATAAAGTAAAGATGTCGTATGTAAGTAAATGTGGCTTTATGAATTGTCATAAACCTTTAAGAGTTTCTTTATTCAAAAATTTGAGCGAATTTATAAAATTTGTTCAGTTGCTAGTTGTTTCCACGTCTCCAGATTTATTACGTATAATAAGTTGGTTTGTCTCTAACAGGCCACATGCCGCAACTTGTGAAAAGAAAGCTCACTTTTAAGTTTTAATAAATTTCGTCGGTCCCCAAGAGACATCATCGTATAATCTGTCGTGTCGCATCGTCGCGTCGTGGCCTACCGTATCGTGTAGCGTCGCGCCGCTGAAACATAGAGGCGACTTGAATTATTTGGGCGCCGAATTTGCAATTCAAATGCGACTGTGTTTGAGCGTAACGACGACGATGTTTGCGGGTGTTTTCTAAACAATTTCTGGGCTTGCGGAATGTTTAATTATTTACTGCAGAACTGCATTCTTTGTAGCAATTAGAATTCAGAAACATGTTTGTAATTTATGGCCATCTGGTCCACTTTACGGCTATCCAATCGGAAATTGCTTTTTTTCTTCGACCAAATTTTACTTAGGTAAATTTGGAACTACTAAACCCTTTTATGGCATGCCTTGTTTATACTGTTTGGTTAAGCACGACACCACCATAAGGTCGTCAGTCCTAAGATTATACGGAGAAAATGAAAAAAGAAAATTTACTTAAACATTAAAGCAATATTTACAATTTATCCCACTAGCCAGTTGCTTCGTAAGCGAAAATAATAAAAATTACAATTTGGACCCGAATTTGTAAAAAT